CTTCTGCTGAAATTCTTTTGTTTCCAAAAGATGGTAGAGGAGAAGAACAAAATCAAGTAGAGTTTGAAAAAGAAAAATTTCCAGGGGAATATTTCAAAAGAAGACAAACAATTTATGATAGCACGAACCTGAAATAGGATATGGGGATCAAACTAGCCACGAGCAAGACAAACAATTTAAAAAAGAAACATGAAGGTTAAATATTATCTTCATAAGAAATTTGACATCAAGGATCTAGATCAACTTAAGTATTGTCTTGGTATTGAAGTAGCACATTCAAACAATGGGCTCTTCATTTCTTAAAGAAAATAGGTCTTAAATTTGTTGAAAGAAACTGGGAAAATGGGAGTCAAACATGTTGACACCACTGTTGACTTCTGGAAAACCTCTTGAAGATGGTAAATCTCTTGAAGATGCAAGGCGCTTTCAGAGACTTGTGGGAATATTGATTTATTTAAATGTGATACGTCCATACATAATACATACAATTAGCCTTGTGAGCCAATTAATGCATGCTCCTAGATCATGTCATATAGAGGCTATCAATAAGATTCTCATATATATTAAATTGTCACTCGGTAGAGATATTTGGATGAAACAAATGGTCCCACTAATATTATTGGTTATTTTGATGGCAGGAAGTTTGATTGATAAGAGGTCCACTATGGTTATTGTACATTGTTGGAGGGAACTTAGTCACTTGGAAAAGCAGAAAACAAAATGTAGTTGCTCGATCAAGAGTAGAGGTCGAATATAGAGCTATGGCTACAACTCCAAGTGAATTGATACGGTTGAAATCACTATTTCGAGATATGGGGTTCCAAATGGTCAATTCAATAGAGATGTTATGTGATAATTAAGGAGTTGTGCATATAGCCTCCAATCCAATCTTTCATGAAACAACTAAGCATATATAAATTGATTATCACTTTGTGAGAGAAAATGTTCATTGAGAAAATATTAGTACTTCTTATGTTTGAAGTGAAGAGCAACTTACAGACATGTTTACCACAGATACTGCAAAGACAAAATTCCATCAAATATTATCCAAGTTGGGCTCTATGGATATTTGCGTACCAATTTGAGGGGGAGTATTGACGGTTATCACATCAAGACATTGAGTTTTATGTTTTGTGGGATTACAAGATACTAAGTTTTTTATTTTGTGAGATTACACTTGTAATAAGATTTGTTTCCAAAACCAAAAATTGTAACTCTATAGAACTCAGGTAAACCAAAGTAATCCTCTAAATGAGAGACTGGTTTACTCTCCGTAGACAAAAGCTTCACTGGCAAACAATGTATATGATGTGTTCATCTCTCTCTTCTCCTCTCTACTTTTTTTATTACAATCTCTACACAAAACTAATTGGAGAGAACTACCTTTGGAGGCATCATACAGAGTCAAAAGATGATACTCTTGGGCTTGGAAATGCATTCATAGAACTCTCTCATTGATTATGAGTCTGCTAAACGATAATGGAGTTGTTGGGAGGGAGACTCTTGGGTTCCCAATATGATATAATCAGAGAGCAAGGGGTAAAAACAAATACTTAGTTTTTTTTTTTGGTAATTCAGTGGGGATGACCAGCCCCTACCCGTTTTTAAATCATTAGTGGTTTTTTAATGCGTTAGGTGAGAATAAAAGCCTAGACCTTAGCTGGGGCACAAGTGGTACTACCACCACGACCCAACCCTATTCTAAAAGAAAAAGTGGTATGTCAGTGCCCCTACCCTTTGGTGAAAAGGGAGTCGGAGACCTCACCATGGGATTTGGCAATACTACCCGCCAAGACCCCAAGCCATTCTCATGGAAAAACAAATCCTTAGCTGCCACATGGAAAAACACTAAGTCACCCAAGGGCCTCTTGGTTCTTATGGTTATCCTACTGTAAGCGGCTAGTCACAATAGATAGGCTGCAAGGTGGGGATTTCACTTAACATATGTCATAGAGATAGAGCCTATAATGAGAACCACGAGCTCCAATTCATCTCATGTAAATATGTGAGTGACATACACAAAAATTATCTTATGGAGATTTATGACAAATGCAATGGCTGGCCCAAGTAGCCCTAGTCTACCTGCAAATTGTTCAAAAAGAAACTCACAAATAAATACCTTAACAAGATTTGGAAAGTTTCACGACTGTACAAGTCATTTGGAAGGAAAGGAACTGGAAGTTGTAAGAAGATGGCAAACAATCAATCCAAAGTGCTCTAAGGTAGATAACTTCGAAGATAAAAATAGCATCCCGGATGAAATGTTTGCCTCACCAGAGGATAAAATGAAGAAAATCATCGGTAGAAAATGGGAAATTGAATTTTCCACCAGACGAGTGCATTTAGAGTATGTAGTGAGAACAATGTGTGCATTGGGCGGCCCATGGCCGTTTTTGTCCGAAAATATAATGGACAGCATAACTGCTCAAGCCGCTTGCTACCTAAGCGAGAAAAAAGCAAAGGAAAAAAAAATAAAAAAGACGAAGAAGGATTTGTGCTACACTACCCTCTAACCACATTGAAATGTTTGTTTGCAGGACAACTGAGACAAACACAACCATGCATTCTTCATATTTCACATCAGAGAAATTAATTATGTCACTTGCTCTTCTAAATTATCTCTTTCGTATCTTAACCTCTTTCGTTTTTAGCTACTTCCAACTTAAAAAAAGATTAGTACAATATAGCATCTAGGTAAGAGTGGAAATCAATTATAATCCATGAAATGAAAAGATCCGTCTCCTACAATGTCTCTTTCCTATCTTTATAATCTATTATTTTTTATCTATTATCTCCAATCCTCTGTTGACAATCTCTCACTCTCACTCTATCCTATAGCACCCTGGTACAACGAGCACGCTGTTGACTATTACACTAGAATTGCTATGCTACGTTTCAATTTCTAGAATTTATCTTCTCATCATTTACTGTGCTTCAGCAATTCATCAACTTAAACTCCAGTTAAGTCTTTTCATCCCTTTCTAGACGTAACGAACATAATGAACTTCCTAACTCACCACTGCTACTTTCTCAGCTAAACATAGCCTGAATGCATTGCCTTACAAGCCTATATCAAGCAAACCTTTCAACCTATAAATAGAAATTCGAAGAACAAAATTACTCAAAAAAATTCCAAGAACCAGTGCTATTCATTGCTATTAGAAATTTCTTTTGTTTATGTGCGTCAGCTGACTGGAACTAGAACATCGGACGTTGTTGGGTATCATAGGATTGTGCCCAAGGAAAAGAAACAAGAAAAAATACTCTTACTAAGAGAAGATGTTGAACTTGCTAATTGGATTCCAGAGGGGGAAAGAGATATATGGCCTTTGGTCCCGAAAGCTCTCCAAAATGAGAAGTTCCTGCACATGTTTAGCTATTCAAAGCTTATGCCCTCTATGCACTATGGCCTTTGGTACCAATTGGAAGTCTAATAAGTGAAAAGTTTCAACCAAGGTATCCAAAGTTTCCAAACCCAATAAAAGCTGCACTATCGCCAATCTTGGCTTTAATTTAAAGTCATTTTTAGGGTTTTACGGGTCAAAATTAATATGCCTAATTTCGAGTTCCATTAAACTATTGGTCCTGCTGCCAACTCTTACCTCTTTTTAATTAATTTTCCACTTGTGGTCTTCTTCTTCCGAATCATGCTTCACTTATATGGCAAGACAAGCGATGATAAGACTACTTCCACAACCCTAGCCTCATGAATAATAAGTGACTTTCATGTTTCTTCCACGTTATTTCTAGATGCTCTTTAGGGGTGGATTGGGGGCCTTGCTTCATCATCATGACGATGCACAGAGACGTTTGCGTCACGGAAATCTCCTTTGTTTCTTATAAAACTCTCGCTCTCCAATTGGCTCCTGAGGCCACACCGTGGACCTCTTTTGACTTTCTATTTCTTACAAGCGCATATGAGACTCGATGTAGGAGGAATCGACCGAGTCTACACTGTTTTGATCATCCTTAACCGAGTTTTATTAAACTTAGAAAGCCAAAATGACCAACTCTCTACTGATAAGCTGAGAAAAGACTTAAGAGATAGAAAAAGTATTCTTTCCTGCTGTCTAATATGCAGCTATTGTGTATATAAAATTCCTTAAACACAGTCCTGCCTAATAATGGAAATATACGTAGAGACGGGAGAGATACTTGAGTCATTTATATGAAAGTTACTTCCTAAAAAAAGCATGTAGCAAAAATCATACAGCAAGACAGTGATGAAATTGATCAATTAAAAATACAGTGTCTTCTAGTAAGCTAATAATCAGAGAACTATTCATGCCAAGAGATGGTATCATCAAATAACAATCAAAGGTTTAAGCAAGGTTGTCTCAGTTCTCAACAAAGAAAAGATAACATGTATACAAAACATATCAAGGATTTGCATCTGAAAAGTATGCAGAGATCAAGGGAAAAGAGAATGTATAGATAACTTCCAGAAGAAGTTACTAGAAAACCAAGGAGATGTTTTAGAGACTGCAAAAAGCTGCAGCATATATAGAAGAACGAGCCATAAAAACAAGTTTATCATAAAATAGAAATACGAAATGGACAAATATTTCATTTTTAGAGGGAACTAAAACCATTTGAAGCCTTAGATTTTTAACTCTGAAAGGAACAGTGTATCATTCCATTGATCACGATATGGTCATCGAAATGTAACTTGTACGGCTCTATAATTTGGAACAATGAAAATGGTAAAAAAAACACCGCTTTCAACACTAAAATCTTTTTCCTGAAATTTCTCCATTTGTTTTGCAGGAAAGCTCAGGTCCAACGAAATTGATTTCCATACTCTACTTTGAATCTTTTGACAAAAGGTGCCAGAAAAAGACAAAAAATAAACAGATGGTGCTCAAGAATATTGATAAAAAAAATATCAGGAATGTTACTGGTCCAAAATTTATGCAGAAGAAGATGCAGTAATTATCCTAAAATCAATTGAAAAATTCAGTAGAATTCCTCCACTCTTTATCACATGAAAACAGGCGTACCTGGAATCAGTCGAATACTCATACAATTTCCCTCTCGTAGAGAACACGATCAAAGCAACCTCTGCATCACAGAGAACCGAAATCTCGTGTGCTTTCTTCAACAGACCGCTCCTCCTCTTCGAAAACGTTACCTGCCGATTGATCTTGTTCTCTATCCTCTTCAACTGGACTCTTCCTCTCCCCATTTTCACGATCCTTGATCACAGTCAAGCAACAATCATAAAACCCTAAAACGCTGCTTCTACCTGATTCTTACCACTGAATTTCTAGCACTTTTGCTGATGCGATTTCTTCCTCCATTAAACTAAGGCTCATGTCTGGTGCTTATGTATGTGTCGAGTGAACTGAGCATGGAGTTGGTAAAAAGCGGTTTTGTGGAGGGAAAAGTGGTTTTACAAAACCGGCAGTTTTTGACGATGTGGTTGTCGAATTGTGATTGGTTGGAGAGCACCATACAGTCGTTAGTGTTGCAGCTTAGGCCATGGGAGGTGGGCCCTATACGTACGGAGAGTTGATGTGCGCGTACGGAGGCGCTATGCTCCTCATCCCCGAAATGTACGCGCGCGTGTCGAGTCGAGAGGTGGGGAGGTCACAGGATATTTTATTTTTTTACTGTAAATGACGAAAATGTCCCTGGTTTTTTCCTTTGTGTGCCTTAAATGCCCTTCCTCTTTCTTTTTGCAGCTAGAGACACTTTTTCACATTTTCTGCCCCCTTTTCATCACATGGTATCTGGCTCTTAAATTGATGGGTGTGGTTTTTATAAGGCTGCGACCTTAAACGATCCAATTAAGGCCCACCTCCAAATTTTATTGTAACATGCAATTTTGGTGCATAACATTATTAGGATTATCTCAAAGTTTATTTTTATATCTACTTAACAAATTTTAAACCTCAAAAATTGTTTAAATCAAGTAGTTCTATAAACATATAAAAAATCTTGAAAATGGACGGTTTGGATAATGTGTTGCAAGATTTACTATTTTTGGACCTCAAAATCTTTTTTTTTTTTCGATATTTATACATATCGATGTCGATATGATTAATTAAAGGGTTTTTCAATACTAAAACTACTTTTTTAAATGGATTTTTTAGGTATGTCTTTAATTCTACATTTTGAGATTGCAACCTTATATAAACTTTTTCCTAAATTGATGTAAAGTTTAAACACGTTCGTGTTCGGTTGAAGATTAAAAAGTTGAGGGAGGTGGACGGCTTTTTCTTTTCTTTACGGAGGTTTGGAATCTAGGAATTTTTTTTTGGGGTGAGTAAAACTAGGATATATTGCCCACATTTATATTGCCTTTTTTATGTTAAATAAAAGGGAAAGTGTCACGTCCACATCATGTAGAAGGCGCACCCTTATTTAGAATGTAGGTGTATTCTATAAATATAATTAAATAAAATGATTAAAAAATATTTTTAATAAAGGCACCTCAAAAATCTATTGAAAAAAGTTATCTTAATGTTGAAAAACTCTCTAATTGATTATATTGACATGAAGAAGTATGAATATGAAGAAAAAAAAATTTTGAGTCTCAAAAATAGCATATCTTGCAACATATTATTTAGACCGTTCATTTTCAAGATTTTCATATGTTTATAGATCTACTTGATTTTAATTATTTTTGGAGTTTAAAATTTTATAATTAGATATGAAAATAGATTTTCCGATAATTTTAAGAATTTTTTACTTCAAAATTATATGATAAAGTTTGGAGGTGCCTTGATTGGACTTTTTAAGGTTGCAACCTTATAGAAACCACACCCTTAAATAAAATAAAAAATCAAAATTACTCTATATTTATTTTGGTTACTTTCTTATCTAAAATATTTTGTGATTCAATCTTACATATAAAAATGAACCTAAAACCAAAATTTTAGATTAAAATTATTTTTAAATAAAACCTTAAAAAAAAAATTCAAGATTCAATCTGAACCATTAAAATCTGCTTGTTCACTTTTTAAGCATCCACAGCATGTGGATGCAATACCAACCCTAAATAAAGAGGGTTGGCTTTTCGATCCATGTTTTGAAGCCTAAATAATATGGAAATATATTTAGAGTTTTTTTTTTGGAAAATATACAATAAGACTCCTTATCTTTGGTATAAAATCAATCATGATCATTGGATGTGAAATTGGGTAGCTTTGAGTGTTTTATTGACAATGCTCAACGTCAGAAAGAATGTATGAACTTTGTGATGCACGTCAAACTGTAAAATGTCACATCTATTGGCTATGACTGATTATGACTTCATTCTATAAAAAATAAATAGTCTTATTGTATATAATTCCTTGTTTTGTCTTCCTATGTTAGGAGGTACTTTCTTTTGGGTGGCAATGTAAAAAGAAAGCGCATATTAGATTCCCATGCCAGAATACTATCTATCGACTCCCTCGGGCAGAAGACCTAATTTGGAGGGTGTTTTAAAATTAAAATTTTGAAAACTACGTAGGAATCACTGGATAATTATTTCCAAAGAGAAATTTGAATTTTAAGGGAGTAAATGGCCAGCAGGAGTATGAAATCTTTGGCATATAAAAACCATGGTTAAAAAATATTAAAATCACTAATTTCTTTTGTTTGGTTTCCAAGATCTAGGAGGCAAATAACTGTGCGCTCCGTGACGGTTGGTCGATGCTTGAAGCTTTAATTGATGATATGATTCTTAGGGCTTTTTTGTCTTTGAATCATATTTGGATGGTAATTATAGATAATGTTTTCTAAATAGAAATTTATTAAGAAATGGAATACATTTCTAAAAATCAACACCAAGAAGATTATATTCGAAAAAATTGCTCCAAATCAGATTTCTTTTCTAACTAAGCCTTAAGAAGTTGGTGACAGCATAAAAGACACTTATTAATGGAATGATTAAAATAGACTAAACCCCATCTCGATGCTTTTTGTGTTCCAAATTTTGGGGTAATTGAGAGGGGGGGGGGTAGATTAGGGAGCTCGCTTTTTTTAAGATGTCAGTAGGATTCACAACATGGTAACTAGATATGGGAGTACTACCACCACAACCCAACCCCGTTCGAGTTGTGTTCCCCATATAAGTCTCAAAGCCTAATGCCAGGTTCTAAAAAATATACTACTTTATAAGTGATATATCTATTATGCAAAGGAACATTGTGACTTTACTTTCCATAATAAGATGTTATTTTGTAACCATTGGCTCCTTTTTAGATGGATAAGCTAAGGCCAAGGCTTAAATTCCCTTTTGGGGCTACGAACATATAAAGCCTTATCACTTTAGGCAATATTAATGTTAGGAATTCTTTTTGGGGAGAGAGAGAAGTTTGGCCTACATGCTAACTTTTGGAAAAGCCAAAGATTCCTAAAGGTTGAAGTATATCTTCATTGAACCACATTCTCTTTTTAGTAAAACAAAAACATCAAGCTATGAATGTACATTATAGTTGTTTTGCGATGTGGGGAGTTTGAAACTTGAATGCAAAATGTTGGATGCTTCGTATCCAAACCATTAAGCCAAGAGGCACAAGCCCACATATTTGTTTGCATTTCTAAACACAATGACAAGAACTTGTGGTCAAATTCAGTAAATGAAAAGGAAAGCTTGTGGCATGGCATGTTATAAATGCACTGCTTAGATTGTTCATGTTTCAATTTTAATAGAATACAAGCAAGTTTATAGCTATTCCATTTGTCACCCTCAAAGGTAGATTTCCCATGTTTCAATTTTAATAGAATATATAAGTAAGGTGAGGTTTGTATACTGTAGAAGTAAGGTGCACCTATAAAATTTACTTAGAGATGTCATTTCGGTGTCTAAAACCTTATGATGTTTTCAAAATCTCTTTTTATCCTTAGTTATGAAATTTAAAATTTGAAAAATGGTACAGATCGAGCAGATCAAAAAAACACTTTCAAATTTTGAAAATAGACGGTCCAGATAACAAGTTACAAGATGCAATAGTTTTTGAACTTTGAATTCTTTTTTTTTTCTTCATGTCCATTTATCTTAAGGTTGAGATAATCACTCGGAGGGCTCTCCTCTGCCATAACAGTCTCTACTGTAGAAATTTTGAGGAGCACCTTACTCCAACAGTATAAGGTTGCAACCTTATGTAAACCATTTCCATATAAGTAAGTTCTAGCTTATCCTATTTGTGAGGCATAGGCATGCCTGCCTCAGCAAGTTTAGTTATTTGGTATAAGGTCTATGATTCCTCTCAATCACTTTGTCTTTCTTAGAGAATCGGAACATGCTAGAGATATGAGTGGATGTGTTGCCTTATGGTCATGACACATAAACACTTACAGATTGACCATAGGTTTTGGCCTCTCTTTTTCTAGGTGGGGTTGGCATGGGATTCGAACTCAAAAGGTGGTGCTCAGGGCCTTTGGGCCTCATACCTACGCCCACTTCGAATATATGTTCTAAATCAAGGTTATGAGAAGTAAGGATAAAACCGAATTAAGAATGTAGCAACGGGTTGGGTACGTTTCGGGTCTGCCTGTACCCTGATTTAAACCCAGACCCGAATAGTATTTGGGTCTAAAATTTTGACCCATACCTAGACCCATCGAGTCTTTGGTCTAGTTAGATCAATTGCCAACCTATGACTATAAGTTTTTTTTTCTCCTCATATACCCTATCACCATGAGTTTCTTTTTTCTGCTCATAATATTGTAAATGTTGCCAATGTTGTGACAATATAAACACTTATCGCGCGCACACATATGATTGTTGTCGTATACCCTATGACTATGGGTATGAATCGGGTCCGTATGGACCTGGACCCGGACCCAAATAGTATTTGGGTCCAAAATTTGAACTGCATACCTGGACCACTGGTCGGGCTCCCCGTTTTGTCCCGAGTCTAGTTGGTTCTACCCCTAATTAAATTGTTACATTTTTTAAAAAGAAGAGAAATATTGTGCTTATCCTTTGTTTTATCAGGCTAACCCTAAAATCCACTCATAAGTAACTTGTGATTTAAATATCTATTTGAATGCAATTAAAAAAAATGCATTCAAAGCCCAATTAAAAAATGCTCAATTAAAAAAATGTAATTCTGGTTGATTCGTAGACACTTGAAAGTAGATGGTCTAGATAACGTGTTACAAAATACACATGTTTTTTATATCCATAATTCAATCTTAAGACAATTTGAAGTTTCCTACTATAGAACTACATCGAAGGAGTCGCTTTATTTTTCGTCGCATATTCTAGGCCTTACAAAAACTTTATTCACTAAAAAATGAGTGATACTAAGAACAAAGAAGTACTTGGCCCCCTTAGCCAACCCATCACAAAAAGAAATAAATATATCAATTCCCAACACTAAAAAATAAACATGGTTACCCGAACCGAAATGAGCAAATAAAATTTGAGATATATATCAAAGTAAACCTCATTT